AACGTGCCGTAATTAATGTGTTGCGCAAAAGTCACATTCATTTGTACAAACATATAAATCAGTAAATTATATATGAAGATCGACTTTTTCCAAGCAATAAAAAGTGCAACACCATAAAACGTAGTAAATATGTACATATGTATATATACTTATATATATAATATATGCATATATGGCGACCTTTGATAACGAAAAATATATTATCAGTAATAACATACACAGGCATAAAACTCAGCAAATAAGTATCTGGCCATATTTTTGCTAGCGATTACGGTCCAACAGTTTTTCTGCACATTGTCATGTATGCACCATAAAATAAGTAAAAGTTAGTAGGTAGCAGCAGCAGAACTGTATCGTGACAATTATCGCTAAGCACACGGGCAGAGAACGGTTTGATTCTATAAACCAAAAAAACATCCTATAACGTTCCAATGTCCTTACATAAGTCAATTATGAATTTTTTCCAATATATATTAGTGTAGAGAATAAGCTAACTGACCAATTCTTAATTGAGTCAATTAACAATTTTTGTCATTAGTGTAAATATTTAACTAATTTTTATATCCCTTTAGTTTGGAGAGTTGCAGAAAAGGATTTGGGTATATAAACCAAAAGATATCCTATATAGAACCATTCCTCAATCTTTATATATGGACTACTTATTTTTTTTTTTTTTTACGAAATAAAACCATTAAATTCATTTCAGAAACAACTTAAATTATATCAATTAGTAGCATTTTCACTTTATACGTACTAAAGAACACAAATAGCTAATTAACATACGCTTAATTGAGTCAATTATCAATTTTAGTCATTTTTCCATACTGAATTTTTCCATCATATTTAGTTGTGTAGAGAATAAGATAATTGAAAGATTCTTAATTGAGTCAATTTTTTCATCTTTAATTGAGTCAATTAAGAATTTTAGTTATTTTTCCATTCTTAACTTTTTCATTCTATGTATTTGTGGAAAGAATAAGCTAATTGCGAATTCTTATTTGAGACAATTAAGAAGTTTTCCATCCTTAATCATGTCAATTAAAAATTTTATTTAACTAATCGATAGCCTTTTATTTTGGAATTCTTCTATCCTAAATTAAGTCAATTAAGAATTTGTCCATACTTAATTGAGTCAATCAACATTTTCTATCATTAGTGTAGATATTTAACTAATTGATATCCCTTCAACTTTAAATTTGGTAAAGAATAATTTGTAGCCATTAACAATTAAATTATATAGTTAGGTAATTGGAACATCCAAAATGAAGTCAATTAGAAAATTTCCTACAAAAAATTAAAATTTTGCAAATAATTACTACACTACTTTAATTGAGTGAATTAGAGCTTTTTCCTTATTTATATCAATAAAAATTCTTTGAAAATTTACCAAATTAAGGTTGTGTCTGGTACGCCTTTTAGCGAAAAAAAAAATCAGACGGACGTGGACAAATACTTATTAAAATTGTTAATTATTACCAAAACAAAACCTTTGAAAATTTGCAAGCTGCAAATAAAAAATATTATTTAAAAGTCGCTGTGACTCCAATTATTTTAAGCAACACAGCAGAATTCCACAAACAAACTACTGCTTAATTTAATTTGATAAAATTAATCAAAGCAATCTAAAATAATTGTTTTCTTCTCTCTAATTAACTATTCACAAAAAAATGCCAAAAATCGAAAACAAATTGCGAAAACGATGTTCACGTCACGCGGCGGTYGCAGCTTTTCGCCCTGACATTGAATTCATTTCGGAAACTCACGCTTATGAATACAGTAAAATATACATATATACAAATATGTCTGTACAAATTATTTGTGATACACATACAGCCGCAAAAATTAAACAAATATACTTAAATATATTATATATGGTATGTATATGAGRAATCAACTTTTTTATTGTTTACTAGCCAATCTTGTGTGTCGTTTTTTGCAAGCTGTATCAATATTGACAGTGACTGTGTGGCTGCGACTGCGACTGCGGCTGTGGCCTAAAATGGCTGCACTGCACTGATAAAAAATCCATGCACACATAAACAAATGCACACATATGTATATACAATTATATCACTTTATATATATATACATATATGTATGTGTGTAAATATGAAAAATATTGTCAAAATGTTATATGGCAATGATTCTACTGCTTCTCCAGCGCGATTGCGTTGGTGCATTTTTTCGGTAAATTTTTCATAAAATTTAGTCAAAATCCGGCCTTCGCCGTCACTGGACGTGAAATTTGTGCACCAATAATGCAATAAATATTGCCAAAAACACTAGTGAACAGCTTAACAATTGTGATTATTCTTATCGGCATTAAAAACAAAACCTGTTGATAACAATTACAGTCACCCAATTACCTACTTTCGCTGCGTGTGACTACTTGACAAAGCAGCCTAATTATTTTTGCGGGTGTATTTGGCACGCATAGGCAAAAAAAATTGTTTTAAAAATAGTTTGTGAAATTTCAAGGTCAGTGTTATATGGAGAGTGAGTACGTAATGATAACTGTACATAATCAAAACGTTATGACATGCTGATATCAAATGTGCAATAAAGATAGCGAAAATGAAGAATACTAAATAATAAATAGTTTAATTGAAAACGAAAGTGCAACTCATTTGAAATGAGTCTAGCACGTGAAATACATACATACATACGTATATGAGCAAAACAATTACACACATCAATGCGTAACTAGAACTTACCCGGTTTTGTTTGTGTTTGCGATTTTCAAATTGTCATTTGTTATCTATTAACCTTCAAATTGTTCAGTTGGCTCACCTGCTGTGTAGCTTATGACTCTACTATATCTATACATATACACTTATACATAACTGTAACGTAATTTGGCAAGAAGTTAGTGTATTCRACTGCATTATTTTAACGACGTAATTTTTGCTTAATATGTGTATGTGTGAGGGTGGTTCTTAAAGTGGCAAAGCTTATAAATTCTTTTTATAAAAGTTGTGATACATTTTTTTTTTCTAAAGTTTCCAACAACAGTTATGTTATTGCTTCTGTGACAGGCCGTTGCTTTGTATTACATAGAGCTACTGATTTSAGTACAGTATAAAACGTAGATGATAACAATTTTTGAAAAAACTTTTGAGTATATTGAAATAGAAAATTTTGTAAAAATAAATAAAAAATGAAACTTCGATTTCTCTGCAGCTAAARTACACTTCGCAAATAAAGCTTGTTCAGGGTATAATAAAATGTATATTTTTCCCTTAAATAAAAAAAATGTTTTCAAAAACTCGAAAAATAATTTTAAAACCTGGACTTGAGTTAACGCTGATTTACATATATGATATAATTTTCGGTATACCAAATATAATAGCAATACATAATATAAAAAATTGCGATTGTCAACTAAGTAACTTGAGATTAGTTGCGGGTAGTCACATGGGTTTCCTCCGGTAAAAAACCGCCATTTTTGACAATTTTTTTCTCATAAAAAAAAATGAAATATATATATATGTTATTAGAAGGATATTTCACGCCTTTTTTTGTTGTAATTGAATCCTTCACCTAGMTAGCCTCGAGCGCACTAGTTCTAAAGGTTGTATCTCCGAAACTATTACTCGGATCAACTTGAAAATTAGGACAATATTCTAAATGTGTTCTGGAATTTAATAAGGAAATAAAAAATATATGTATTTTTTTTTAAACCGGTAAACCCATTTAAAGGTTTGGTCTACGGATAGGCTTTGCTATTGCCTCAACAGTAGCCATACAAAAAGCAACACTATAATTTTGTTTCAAAAAATATCTTAAACTCCAATCAACCTAAGCAATGTCTATCGGATCGGATAATTGTGTAACTAACTTGTTTATTTGTTTGAAGGTGCTCAATCTCGCGACTGTGCAAAATAAATTTAAAAATTAGTAGTCTTAGGAAATCCACCAGTAAACCAACTGGAAAGAATTTATTTAATACGATTGTTATAGCAATACAAGTATCGGTAAATTTTGAAGCTGATCTCWTAAATATTTTCAGATTTCTTAAACATTCCTAAATTAATAAAATCATTCAAAAAACATGTAAATTTCAGAAATTCTGCCTGTGAGAGTCTACATATTTAAAACAATTGTTACACCAATACAAGAGTCGGACTTACTTTCCAAATAAGTGATCTAGAAATATCAATCACCTATAAGGTGGACTTATCTTTTGCGTTTGGGTGAAAAATGTCCAAAAAATTCTATGCTACTTAACCTTCCGGTTTGGTGTTTTCCCCAGTGTTCTTTAAAAACATACTTTTTAAACTTACAGTAAAATGACTGAAGAAATGAATAAAGACTTTAAACTCAATTTTCATTTAGAAGAAAATTAAATAAATAAGAAAAAGAAACTAAACGATAGAAATAATATTCAATGACGATATTACCGTCTTTATTCAAAAATGACTTCACGCTTGAAGATCACGCATCGAGATCAATTCATAAAACTGAACCAAAATAATATTTTATAAAATAAATCACTTATTATTTTTGAGAAAATTTTATAATCTAATTCTTTACATTTTTTCTCTTTCCAGACACTGCCATATAAAAACAGAAGCTGCAAACTTTACAACCTTCAACTTCAAAACTACCTCGTTTAAGCTACAAAATATTGAAAATAATTCGTAAAACCGATTAAAATAAGCTGCCAGTGTCTTTGTTTAGACACCAACAAGACAACAAACGCATAGAACTCTACAAAAACTATACAAAAAGAAATTAAGAAGCTCTAATTGGGGAACTTCACTGTTATCAACTATTTTATAATAACAAAAAATCAAAAGCAAATATCGAAAATGGATGAATATTTAGTAGAAATCTCATAGAATACTTTAATTTGAAACACAAAAGTCCCACTTATCACCCATATTGAATCCAAACGCATCCCCTCAACAAATATCCCAGCTACACCACACCAACCCCAACAAACTCCTACAATACCTACCAACTACCCAAACTACCAACACCGACAGCCACAACAAAATATGAATCCCTCGACAAATGCCAGCGACGTCGATGCCGCGGCAAATCCACAAATGCTCAATTTTCAGTCTCCACAACGCCAGATAAAGACAAGCCAAGCTTCAAGTCCAGTTGGTACACCCTACAAACAGAACGGCAGCAATGGCGATGCTAGTTTGAACGGCACACCMTTACACAATGGTCACGGCAATGCCAATGGCACTAATGGTTATCAGAATGGTACACGACGTGATTCTACGCAAGCCTGGACTCCACTACTGTCAAACGGTAATGGTAACAGTGCTACACTAAACAATGGTAATGGTAACACTGGCTTGACAGACAACAGCTTAGTTGGCACAGCAAGTATTAATGGAACGGAAGACGGCAGTTTAGCGGGACAAGAGGCGAATGAAACACTGGGTGATCCCACCACTGTACTATACACCACATCGACCAGTAACAACAACGAATGGAAAGATGCCGAACAAATAAATAACCTCAAAAACGGACTGTTACATTATCCGGCCMATCATCAGGGCAACAATAATGGTTCGCTAATGAACGGCAAGAATGGTATCGGCTTGGGCGTACCAGACAAGTATGATGAACAAGATCCACTTACCGGCTTATATGCTCAAAAAAATACAMGAACRCGTGAACCGGATGAATCGGATACAGATTCCGAATTGAGTAATGGCGATCGACAAGCTCCCGGCTGCGGTTTATTCGGCTGTCGGCCGAAATGGGCGCGAAACTTTGCCTCGACTAATGTCTTCATGGTGGTCTTTTTGCTCGCCTAYATTTTACAGGGCATGTATATGACATATTTCGTGTCGGTGATCACTACCATCGAGAAACTATTTCAGATCAAATCGAAAACGACGGGTTTTCTATTAAGTGCCAGTGAGATGGGTCAAATTAGTACCGCTATGTTGTTAACCTACTTCGCGGGACGTGGTCATCGCCCACGTTGGATCGCTTGCGGCATGGTATTATTCTCCATTGCAGCTTTCGCTTGCTCATTGCCRCATTTTATATTTGGCAAACAACTGATGCAATCACTTGATACGCTCAGTAATGGCGGCAATGGTGGTAATGCGGCAATGCGCGCCTTACATGGTCAAATGCTGCACGCCAGTTATGGACTGCATGGAATGAATGACACAATAAATGCGAAAAGTGCGAACGCATTGGAAGGCGGTCTCARTGCATTGTTGGCCAATGTGCCGGGCTCGCACGAAATGAATCTGTGCATACCGGGACAGAACTCAACGAACTCCAACACAGGTATGTTAACTATAAAGTATATTTATGCTAAAGAATTACGAAAAAGTGTGAAAATTAGGTGCAGGAATCGGCTTTCCTCAATTTTGACTTTGGGTTTTAAAACATTATTCTTCTTCTTTTTTGAATTCGAATTTACAACAGCACGCCAGTAATTCTTCCTTTTCGCTGTTTGGCGCCAATTGGAGATTCCAAGTGTAGTGAGGTTTTTCTCCACCTGGTCTTTCCAACGGATTAGAGGTCCTGCTTCCCTCGGCGAGTATTACGCCGAATACATTCAAAGCTGGAGCGTTTTCATCCATTCAGATGAGACAAAATATTTATGTACAAATCTGAAATTTCGCACACCTTTTTTCCCCCGAGACGGTGCTCATTTGTGAGATCAGCCGATATCGGACCACGTACATTCTCCGAATACATTTTTCAGATTGGACAGATTTTGTCATTTTCAAGTTGTTTTGGGTACTTCGTTCAGTCCCTCATTAACACTTATTTCAGTCCTTCATTTGACTAAGAAGTCTCATCCGATATTTAACCATAATTATCTTTTTTATAGAATGCGATGAGGATCAAAAACTGGAACAGGCCTCACACTCAAAAATCACCGTTATTGTACTGTGCATATTCTTCGCTAGCCTTTTGAGCTCTGGCATTGGACAGACGGCAGTAGCCACACTAGGCATACCGTACATAGATGATAATGTGGCMAGTAAACAGTCACCTATGTATATGGCCATAACAATTGGTGTACGSATTTTGGGACCCGCATCCGGTTTCATTGTGGGTTCATTTTGTACGCGCTGGTATGTGAATTTCTCCAATCCCGGCTTCGATGCTAGCGATCCACGTTGGATTGGTGCCTGGTGGCTGGGACCAGTTGGGATTGGCACTCTAATGTTGCTGTCATCCTTTGCCATGTTCTCATTCCCAAAACAGTTGCGCGGCAAACGAAACCCCAATGCCGGCGAGACTAAAGCTGATGGCGGTGATGAAGCGGCAGCCGCAGTGGAGGTGGATGAGAARCCGAAATTGAGAGGTTCGATAACTTYCTTGTAAAAATGTTTGGKAAAATTTTAAGTGCTTAAATGTTGATTTATTATTTGTATTGTCAAAGATTTTCCAAAGACCGTACGACGTCAACTTAAAAATGACATTTTGATGTTCCGCACTGCTTCGTGTGTCTTCCATCTCTTGCCAATCGCTGGACTCTATACTTTTCTACCGAAATACCTCGAAACACAGTTCCGTTTAACCACCTATGATGCCAGCATGATTGCCGCCTTTTGTGGCATACTCGTTATGGGTGTGGGCATTGTAATATCCGGTTTGGTAATTTTGAAATTGAAGCCGTCAGCGCGTTCCGTAGCCGCTTGGATTGCATTCACAGCACTGTTCTACTCAGCCGGCATGGTTGTGCTGATGTTTGTGGGATGTAGCATGAACGACTTTGCTGGTTACAAGAGTGCTACGACTGATTCGTAAGTAATATATATTACATTACATGTATAGATATACCTACATTTTATAAATATATATTATAAAATAAATATGTATGTACATACATTTTTAATACCAAATTAATTTGCATTTACAGTCCTGCCATGATCGAACCGGCATGTGACCTCAATTGTTCCTGTGATACGGGTAATTACGCCCCCATTTGCGGCATGGATGGTCGTATATATATTTCCACCTGTCATGCGGGTTGTGCAGCGTCAGCATTGACTGATAACGGCACCTTGTTCAGTAACTGTACATGCATTCCAGATTGTAAGTTTCAAAGTGTTATTTACACGTACACTCATACACACACACAGATAAATAGACATCTATTTACTCGTATTCACAATTTCCATATTCGCTCGAAGCATGTGCCCCATGCGTATACGTAACATTTTACCAAAATTCAAATTCCCCCACWGGCAACCAATTTTGCTTTTCATTCACATAAATCATAAGAAGTTTAATTTTTTTTATTAAGAATCAATTCAATACGGGATAAATTAAAAAATATATGTCTTTCTAGAGTAACATTTCCATAAATATATCTAATTGGTTATATTCTATGATTTTGCTTAAGTATGTATGAAATTTGCGGGGATTTAAATTTTTTAATTACAAATATTTGGATTATAAATAGTATGCACATGGCATGTATGACAAAAAATCCCCGAAACACTTTTCATAAGCAGTTTTTGAGCAGACCTTCAGTTCATTTTGTTTTATCTCTTCGATCGGACGAATATGAGTTCGACGGGGCGGTAACTTCAGTTTGGGAAAGAAGAAAAAAACACAAGAAGCCAAATCAAGTGAATACAGTGGTTGATCGCTAGTATTCATTGCGTTTTTGGCTTTAAATTCAGTCACAATCGTACCCTTTTTGAAAAAAGTATACGTTTCATACCCAAGAAATCCACCAAAATCATTCGAACGGACCCACTGGAGATGACGAGCTCTCTTGTCATCTTTCTAACACTCTGCTGACGATTTCAAGCACCGTAGCCTTCACTTTTTTAATATTTTCATCAGTTTAAGAGGTTGAAGGTCGTCCAGAAGGAGGCATGTCTTCAACGATGTCTCGACTGTCTTCGAAGGCTTTGTAGCACTCGTAAGCTTGTGTTTTTGATAAAATCATCGTAATTTCCATTTTCCAWCATTCGCAACGACTCCCCGCTCAAACTTTGATTAGAAATACAAAATTTGAGACCAATTCTTAGCTCGATATTTTTCTTCTTCTTTATTCGCGTAGACACCGCTTACACTGTTATACTTTTACAATTTTTTTTATTAGCCATGTTATGTTCATGAAGTTTGGCATATATTACTGGCCAAGGCATCACAACAAACTTCGAACATGCAGGGTTTGTCCGGAAAGTAATAGGAAGTAATAGGCGAATTTTCTTCGCCGCGACTGTACTTCAGAGCGTGCGCACACCGAATGGATTCGGTAGAGGGCGTTCCTAGCTAATAAACGAGCGGCTGATCAGTTGTCTCCAAACACATGGAGAGTCAGGACAAACATTTTCCTGCGACATGTTTTTGTGAGTGGTGCAAGCCGAAGCGGCTCAGTGGAAGTGTGCCAAGAAAATTTTAACATGTGAGAAAGTAACCTCCAATTTTTTAATAACGTAATGACAGGTGATCTTTTAGTATGATTCCGAGAAGAACGAGCAAATCCAAGGTGAAAACGACCCTCATTATATTTTATCAAAGGCAAATTATCTGACATCAAAGGCATCGTTCACCATGATTTTGTTCCTAATGTACAAACCGTCAACGCCAAGTTTTACACATCGAAAGTCCTCAAGAGACTGAAACGAAGGGCCAATCGGCTCCGACAAGACATCCCAGCCTTCGCAACGAAGCCATCCCACAACCCAACGTGGTCCCCCTTTTCTTTTTTTTTTTTTTTGTTTTGGTTCCTTGCCTGAAAAGGCCGATGAAGGCAAGCATTTCGAGACGACAGACGCGATCCATGCACCTGGGCTCTCAAGGATAATCCGGATAATGCCTTCCGTGACGCCTTCAATGCTTGGAAATCGCACTGCCAGCGCTGTATCGACTATATTTCAAAGAATTGAAACGATTAGTTCAATAAATTTTCTTAAATCGACTCAGTCCTATTACTTTCCGAACAAACCTTGTAAGTTCTAGTGGAGAAATAAATCAAGCAGAACAGAATTGAATTTTTAAAAATGTATAAGTTACTCATTTCACTTTCACTTAACTTATTAAAACCCCTCGTAATGTAGGTATTAATGCTAGACCCTTATTGAAATTAGTTTTAGCAACTTCATTTTCAAAAAATGATATATTTTTTTATACACTCCATACATTTATCAGTCTTACATAATTTAATACTCATTTACTCTATATATAATATATATAATATGCATATTTAGAGCCATTCATTTGCATGGCTTTTTCATTTTCATTTATTAATTATTGCATTTTATTTCATTTTTTCTCATATACATTAATTATTTTTTACCCATTTCCTCGAGTCACTGTCATAACCTACCCCATTTTTCTTCTTTTCTCTTCTTTCTACCCCACCCAACCAACTTTCTGTTGCGTGCGCGTGTTTATCTGTTCTTGCAGCTTTTAAGAACCAAGCGATCGGCGGATATTGCGCTAATAACTGTAAGAATTTCATATTCTTCATCATCATATTCGCCGTTTGTGTGTTTATGCATTCGACATCGGAGGTAGGCAGCATGTTGTTGGTGATGCGTTGCACACATCCAAATGGTAAGTGATATCAAAGCAAAATCAAAATTTTTTTGTAAATTTTTAGTAATTTAGTTTAAAGTATATTATTTCGAAAATAAATTTAGAGAGCGCATATTTTTTACACTTATAAAGGGTGATCCATTTCGACTTATTGTAGTTTTTTAAAGGAAAAAAAGCAGAAACTTCACATTTAATGGGGAATGTTAATTATCATTTGAAAGAATATTCTTTGGGATTTATTTTTTGAAAATTATCTTTTTAAAATGTTGGCCGCGGTTAAGTCTTAGATGGTCCATCTGCATCCATCCATCCAATTTTCGAAGCGGTATTATCCGAATAGACTTTAGACTTTACTTATCCACTCAATGAAACGTCTAACAGTGTGATATCACACGATTTTGGTGGCCCCTCGACCGGACAAAAACGTGTAATTTTTCAAAAAATAAAAATTCTCACAAAACCGCTGTTTTTTCTCGATGAAATGGCAACTCTTGAATATCTTCAGGAGCTCTTCATCCCAGATGCGGAAATTTTGCATGGTCACAGAGCCAGTGAACTAGAAATGGGCCTCATCGTCGAACAAAATTTGGCTCGACAAAATTAGATCTCCTTGGAASTTTTCAAGAGCCYATAGCGCGAAGCGATGACGCTTGGGAAGGTCGAGCGGCTTCAATTCTTTCACAAGCTRTATTTTGTAAGCTTTCAATATAAGATTTCGACGCCAAATCGTGTGATATGTAAGCCCAAGTTACTGCCAACGGCGCCAACTCGACTCTCCACGATCTTCGTGAACAATTTCAGCTACAGTGGCTATATTTTCTTGCTGTGTGACGTGGTCTATTCGGTCAAAAATCATCCAATAAGGAATGCTGGAGATACCAATATACAGAATGGAGATCTTTGCATCTGGTTTTCGAAACCCCAATCTAATTTAATCGAAAATACATTTTGGTTCATATATATAATATTGCGGCACAAAGATTTGACTGCTTAGAACCCTTTAAATATTGAACTAAAATGTTATTGAAAACCGATTTTAGGACCAGAACTACATTTCGAAATTATTAAAAATTAAGGATTCCAAAGGAAAAAGTTAATTTTACTTTTAGGAGACCATCTAAGACGTATTTAATAAAAAATATTTACTGTATTTAGATATTAAGCATTAGTGTGCTTGTAATGCCTATTTATAAATCCTAAAATATAATTGTTGAAAATTGAAATTCAGTTTACAAGTCGTCTTAACAAATATTTTCGATCATATTAATTATATCACTATATTCTTTACTAAAATCTAACGCTTATGAATTATAATTTCATTTAYTTTTACAGACAAAGCCATGGCTATGGGCATCATACAGTCGGCGATTGGATTATTCGGTAATGTTCCTTGTCCAATTATTTATGGCGCGGTGGTCGATTCGGCGTGTCTTCTCTGGAAAACGGTGTGTGGCAAGCATGGAGCTTGCTCGCTGTACGATTCGGACACGTTTAGGCACTATTTCCTCGGTAAGAATACATATTTTGACAAAAAAGCACCCGGAAATTGTTATTAAATTCCCCGGGTAAATTATTTTGCAAAAAAATTTGCTAAGTTGGTAAGACTACCCTTAATTACTATCCCAAATATGAGGTCGATCTRTCAACCAGTTTGTTTACAGCAGCTTCGATACACATCAGTAATGCGTTGCGATTTTTACAAGAGATAAATACTTATGTATATCGAAGAAACAATTTGTCTCGATTTTTTTATTTCTAACCGAATCTCGTTTTCAAAGGCTTACGGTAATTCAAAAACACAAGCCTACAAGTGGTACGGAGCCATCAAAGACTGTCTAGAGATCATTGAAGACAGGCCTTGTTCTGAACGACCTTTGACCTCTTCAAATGATGAAAATATTAAAAAAGTAAAGGATATGGTGTTTGAAAATCGTCAGGTAAGTGTTGGAGATGGCAAGAGAGCTCGACATCTCTCGCGAGTCCGTGCGAATGATTTTGGTGGATATTTTGGATGTGAAACGCGTTCTTGATCTACCCGTTCCGATAAAGCAGAACTTTTTTCAAAAAGATTACCGTAAACAGGTCTCTTTCAACACGCTTGATCGTCCAAATTGCTATCCCACGTACAATTTCCGGGTACTTTTTTGTCACAATGTATGAATTAAAAAAATATTTCTCCAACGAATCTAAAAAGTTGTTAGTCTTTATAACTAATTAACAYCTATTAATTTTTTTTATCTCACCAGGTATTACCGCCGGCATAATGTTCCTGGCATTCATAATGGATTTGGTGGTGTGGAGCAAGGCGCATCGCATCGACATAACGCCCGAGGACGGCAGTGAACCGCACGGCAAACAAACAGCCGCAGAAACGGAGTGCAAAAAGTCAATGGTGGCACCCGATACGAGCGTCTGARCAGCACTGCCATCCAAAGGAGACGAACATATGTAGCTGAAAGAACAAAAACAAAAGAAAATTAAACAAGAAAACATTTGAATAAGTGTCTTTATAGGCTTGTTTCACACAAACAAAAAGTTTCAAAACGGAATTCAGTTAAAAATACATATAGAAAATGAGTTGAGCAACTGGATGAGAATGTATTCAAAGTAACGTGAACATGACGACGCACAATGTGGCCAAAACAAAGGCGCTCGAGAAATGCAAAGCTGGATGTGGTGTGTGTGTGTATGAGTGTCTGTCACATGCTTTGCAAGAATTTGACGACGAAGGAATGCGATTTTGCATTTATTGTTTATAGTTGATTTATTGGTTAGTTTAGTTAAAGTTTTAGTTAATGACAGTTTAGTTATAGACAGCAAAAACAATGAAAAAAGAAAAAATTAAAATAAAGATAAAAATGAAAATGAAAATGAAAATAAAAACAAAAGCAAAGAGAGCGCGACGATTGGATACTAACGGCATGCATTGGGATTAGCATGTRTGGCTAAGCATGAATGAAATATAAAAGTAAAAACGAAAGTAAAAATAAAAATATAAAAAATATCAAAATACATACATACAAATGTACATACATAGAGACGGCAGAGAAATAAAAATAATAATAATTGGATATTTCTGCGTATATAAAAACATACAAATTTATTTTTTTTTTTTTATTTTTACATGTGGTATGTGCGCAAAACTATTTGTAAATTTATATTTAAATAAACGCTGCTTGCATTTTCAAATTTATATGTTAGAAAATGTATGTATGTATGTAACTGCGTACCATATAGTGAACACTTATTAATATGTCAACATTTTAACAAAATAAATCTCAGTTATAGACTAAAAATATTTTTTAAAGGAAAAGCAAAAAAGAATATTTATACAATAATACATACACACATGCATATGTATGAATGTGTGCATGTTGCTAAACACAAAATTAAGTGTAATAAAAAAAATATATATTTAAAAAATATAACAGCAAAGAAAAATGCAAGCAAAGTACACAAACATWCATATCGTCACCTAAAATGCAAAATAACGTATCATCAAAAAATCCGAAATTGAGTGTCTTATTGATTACGATTCAATACTTCAAATTACAATATGTATTATTACATATGTTTTCAGGTTCTRCGCTTATATCTATATGTCCCAGTTTTAACCAATATTAAAATGTTTTTTTCACTATTGTTCCAATTTTATTTCGTGTTTCATTCACGCCACTGTAAATTTTCGAAAATGTTGTTACGTTATTTTGCATTTTAGGTGACGATATGTACATATGTATGTATGAATGCGTGTGTAAATTTCAATTAATATTAGTGGCTAGACTTTGTAAACAAATTAAGTGGCATAAAAATTTACGTACCCTTTATACATATGTACTATGTGAACAAATATATGTACATATGTATGTATGTCTACGCTTCTATATAATATTGCATGCGCTCAATTACATTTTTCAGAAAATGAAATTTAAAAAAGTTAAAAGTAAATACATTCATACATATGTATGTATATGTTTATGTGCATATTTGCTTATTGTACTATGTATTACACATATATGTACATACATTGACTGCGGACTGCTGTATTAGTCGAGGCAGTGCATTCAGTTAAGCACTTGTATAAGGTAGCAACTATTATTAAATAACACAAAACATACATACACATAGAACTACTCCTATACATACCTACACTACATATATATTATTTCATACGTTAATTTCTATTTAGTAATATTAAATGTATAAAATTTTAATGTAATGCAACCTATCTGTGGTAGTTAAATTTTAGTTACAATTTAATATACATATACACATACATATACCATATACACATAATTTTAAATGTAAGTTGAAAATAAAAATAAAGTAAAAAAAAATAATAATCATAAATATAATTAGGTGTAGTTTTAATATATTATTTTTGCGGAAGAAAACAAACAACCTTTTTTCAAAAATTTTTTACTCATATAAAAAAGGAAATATTGTTTTAGAATTTATTATTGACAAAGAAATTCTKAAATTTTTGGGAAAAAATATTTTAACCTCGGCCATTTCTGGTGACCCCTCGGAAAAAATATGCATCCAAACTCCGTGTTTTAGTTAAAACCTTAACTCGGAACTGGACAAATAAAAAAACTGATCTCCCCATTCCACGCTCAATCAAGTTTATATAAATGCATAACAAACCAGTTTTATTTTCTTATTAATTACATACATTTTACATTTTCATCAATATACGCGTTTAAAGGCGTTCTTAACGTAGTTATGTTATCTTTTTCAACTAAAGATTTTTTTTCGTAATACGTTTTCCATGCACACAGCTTTTTTCTCAAATAATACAATAGTCTTCGATAAAATGTTATTTGGTCTATTGTCATYGAATCAAAAGTTATGCTAAATGCACTTGCTACTCGCAAAGCAAGCTAACAAAAAATTTAGTAATCTAACAGTGTTAACGTTATTATGTTTAACAGTACAAAAATTAAGTATGTAGCTTTTTTTCATAAACTATAAACAATACCAAAAAGTCATAAGGCAAAAAAAGGAAAATTTCCTTTTAGCATCAGCTCTCCGATGCCCACACTTTGAAGGTACGATCGAAAGACGCCGTTACAATATGTTGCGAGTCGGGTGAGATGTCGACAGCCATTATTTTGCCATCATGTCCCAATAATGTTTTTAATGGCTGCCAAGTTTTATTTGACCAAATTTTTGTGGTGCAATCATAGGAGGATGTAACCAGAAAACTGCCACCATCTCGTTGGTATTTAACATCTGATATTAGGTTTGTATGTGCAGGAATCGTATAAACTGGCTGTCGACGACGTAAGTCCCAAATTTTGCAAGTATTGTCCTGTGAACCAGTGGCAATATGAAATCCATTTGGCGAGAAATCCACGCCAAAAATAGAGCCCAGATGACCTTCGAGAAACATTACGCAACGGCCTGCATTAAAGATACAAACATGCCATTTTACCAAAGTAATATGCGAAAAAATTAAAATAATAAACAAACCTGTTCTTAGATCCCATACGCGTCCAAATGCGTCAAGTCCACCAGTCACGATGACACTACCATCGATTTGAAAGCTAAGGCTATGAACTGCTTTGGCATGGCCCTCTTGATGCAGAACTTCAGTTTTTTGTTCCAAGTCCCATAAGCGCCAAGAGGAGTCATAACAAGCTGTTGCTAGAAAACGACCAGATGGATGAAACCCTAATTTGGAAACTCTATGTGGCATATGCCCTGTTATATCTGCTAAAGATTCTTCCGAATTAAAGCCCCACAACTTCACTGCTCCATCATGACCACCAGAAGCCATTGCTACAACATTTTTATCATCTTGCGTTACGCCTGGTCGAAATGCTACACCACCGACATAACTTGCATGACCTCGAAGTGTTAACAGTAGCTTACAATCTGGTACTGTCCAGACTTTGCACAAACCGGACCATGACGAAGTCATAATCAATTTAGAGTCGTCGCTAAACGCTACTCCACTTACTGGACGCGTATCTCCCACTTGACTGCATTGCGGTGCTAAGGCATGTAAACGCTTTTGAAGCTCGACTAATCGGCCAGCGCGTGTTGCGCTTGGTACATCTAGTAGAGATCGCGCATGTTCTAGACGTGTTTTTGCTCTTGGCAAGGAGTAATCTGCAATCCATATTCTTGCCACACGTAAGGCTTCCGGTCCTTCGTGGTACCATGTTGTTTCTTGTTCTTTCTGAAGTTGTTTTCGCTCTTCCTCTTCGGTTTGCTTTTGCTTAATCGCATTTTCACCCAAGCTAGCTAACAACTCTTTTAAACGGCGCCGTCTTTCTGCTGGACCCTCCCCAAAGTAGCATATCGGTTCATTTAAYTGTCGCAAATTAGCTTTTATTTCCGCATCATCAGTGGAAACGTTTATTTGACGTGCACGTTTTTTACGTTCAAATTCCTTTAGTAGCGCTTCTTTGTCTTTCGCTACTTCTGTTTCCAAGTCAAAATAGTCGTCATCGATCTTATTAGCTAAAGCACCAGAAGTCGGCGGTAACGTTGGCGCTGTTGGTTTTTTCACCTCCTCATAATCTTCATCAGATTCGATATCTTCGAGTTGATTGGTAACCGCAACACCACTTGATGTGGATGCAGTGGCAGTGGAGCTTGCCCCCGCAACAGCAGCTGTCTGGCGCTTTCTCTCTACTTCTTCCARAGAACCGTAGTGCAGTGTKCGCTGCCTTTTAACATACTGRATGTCCTCGTCATCGGACATATTATTTGYCAATTTTAAATAAAATAACTGAATAAAAYGTTTTAAACTTAATTTATACCGAAATCTAACAAAAACCAGAAAATRCACATTCCCACCAATTTCAGTAACTTGCCGGCGTTTCAAATAGTATTGCTAGTAATTTATCGCAATTATCGATATTTTAGAAATACTCAAACTCTATCGACGGTCAGTTCTGATATGCGATCGTTGTTCTGATCGAAATGGAATGGAATATAAAATTTATTAATGAATGATGATGATATCTATTAGATTTACAAATCTAATCTATCGTGTACTGATATCTATTAGATTTACAAATTTCTTGAAAATGTCGAATATATCACAATTGCAACTAGAATAAGGACCTATTTGTATGGTGAAAAAAACTAAGACGAAAATGGCAAACTGCCATCTTTGAATATAATATATAAATCATTATTATACAGATATTATTGTATCCCATTAATTGTTATAAACTTTTTATTGTGACAATTATATTTTAGACGATTTTGTGCTGGCAATAATGTTAATTGGTCTCTGTATATGACGTTGGCACCCCTTGTAAATTCGCGCAACCTCACGCTGACCCGTTCACACACCTGTTATTGAGTCATAAGCTAGAAAGAGAACGCGAGTCAGGTCACGAAAATTGAAACTTCATTTTAAGTTTTTTTGTTCCCTGAAAAAATTATACTAGACAAGAAGGAAAAAAGAGAAAAGTTAGTGAAAGAATATTTTAATTGCGGAAAAAAAGTATTTTTCAGTTTGAAAAGTCGCCAAATTAAAGACAAATAAGTGTAATCTATTTTTAGTGCTTTTATCAGAGGTATGTTGTCGATATTAGCTAAAATAAAAAAATACTACTTCCAGACACAAAATAGCGTGTAAAAATCTGTTAAAAACGGTGAATAATACATTGAATGCCAAACGAAGTTTTCGGTAWTCCGTTTCTTTATCGATCGAAATAATTTACACAGGTCGCAAATTATTACTAAATATTGTAAAAATTTTGCACTAGATTATATATGTATATACGATATAAAATAGGAGTGTATATTTCGTCTGCCAAGTGGTCGCACCCGTGTCTGCCCTTACCTGATACGCGCATGACACCAGTGCGCACCCTTTAGCGAACCTTTACTTTTTATTCATTGCAAAACTTTAATTCTTACAGGTATTTCACCCCTTACAAGAAAACAAAGCAAGACAAGATGACGTGGGAACCGCAAGCCGAAGGTTTACAGCA